ATATAGCAATAAAAATAGAAAAGTTATACAGAGCAGTGACATGCATAGTTTGCTTGTGTTGTCACAACTTTGTACAATATTTCCAGCTTTATAATATGCAGTTATCAGTCACATTGGGCATCACCATGTATTTTTTTTTCTGCAGGAGGGAAGACACAGGAGGGAACTAGTGACTCATGTTTTTGCTTCTATCGCTTCACCCTCTGGGAATCAGTTCCTGCACCCCTTGAATATAATGGTCACCAAGGGGTGTCCTGACACGTTCACTTTCTGTTGAGAAGGTTAGAACAAACACCATGTGTGTCATTTAGTTGCATATATAATACTTCAATGTTAAGTCTGCATGAAGTCTGAAGTCTAGCCACTCTTAATCCTAGGTTGTCGTGACGTTAATCTAGCCTGGGTGGATATTTGCTGTGCTAAAAGCACGGACTCCGCTACGCCCCAGTACGGCGGCTGGGGCGCCTCCCCTGGAGGAAAACGGCGCCGGGGAGGGGGACGGACACTGTTACACTTGCGGTTTTTTGTGTGGGGTAGCGTATACTCTTCTTACAAGTATTTACTATGGACAATGCTTGCGGGTGACCTCCACTGCACGTGACACGTGTAAAACGGAGAGGTGTCACTTTTGTTACGGAGCGAGCGAAGCGAGCGAAGTCTTTCCTTAGATTAACGGAAATTTCTGAGTATGAGCGGCCGGCCGGCCGGCCGGCCGGCCGTGCGGACGCTTTTGCGAGGCTTATAGGCGGCGTGATGCCCCAAAACGGATATTGCGGCGCCGTCGATTGACGCACGAGGGTGAAATTTTCACGACTCGTGGGTCATGTAATTCAACAGGTCGTATTAGCTTTGGGCACGATTCGGCCGGGGGTGCGCCCGTGGCGCGTGCTCATGTGCGCCATAGGGTTAACATTAAAAACGGCAAAAACAGGCTATTGCTCCAGATGGTCCGACCACTACAACCCCATATGATGCACTCTTGGCTGCATCCCCACCCCACCCTTTCCCCTTACAGTATGAAGTATGAAAAACAGTGATTTTTTACTGGAGCTGCAAAGTGTGCCTTTGAACCACCTTATGATTTACTAGTATCTAATGTATTTGTCCATCAGGATCAGTTATCTAATGGCAGTAGACTGTTGTCTTCACATACTTCATATCTATTTTGGCTACTGCATTGTGTTCTGTAAAAAAAAAATATGGAAAACGTTTTGGATGTAGTTTTTAGTAGAATGCTTCTTTACAGATCCCGAAAGAAGATAACTGCTTGTTTTCTTCACCGCCACCAGTCTACCTGCTCTCTGCACACTCGGCAGAGCGCGGCAGGGCACCCCACGGAGCTGCACTAGTCACATCCGGGCCCCACGCCGGTCGACGGCCGATGCGATGGAGGCACTACTCCGAGGCACTACTGGGAGGCCTGCGGCGCGGACGACGGATGCGGCAGTTGGTCAAGACACGGCAGCCTACTCGAGGTGCTTCTCGCCTGGAGGACGCAGGCGAATCGCGTTATCCTAGCTGTGCCTCGTCATGGTGCGATGAGCCTTAATAGACTAATGCATATTCTTCCTTTGGTTGTAATTCATTTGCTGCTGCCCGCTGGGCTAAGGAGTAACTCTGTGCGCCTACTTTGTGCAGACGCTCGTCCAGTGCCGCCCTTCGTTTGCCGCACATATCTTTATTTATTCTTTGTTACAATTCCGTCTTTGGTCATTTTTTTTTTACCATGGGGGCACTTGAAAGTTTTGTTTTTAAATCTGTGGACATTGAACCTGGAATCGGTTTTTTGTCGGATTTCGGTTTTGTTTTTGCACTGTGGAAATATCTCGTTCAATATTTTTTTAAGATAGGGCGTGTTAAAACTTTTAGTCTCATTACTCCTCTGTGCATTCTAAAGTACTATAATGTGCATCTCAAGTGTTTGGTGCTGTACTGTTATTATTTATGGTTAATCCAGTGCTGATTTATGGTTAATCCAGTTTTTATTCGATTGAATCGTTGTGTGTAATGTGCATGACATCCGCGTACCGCCTGTAGCAGTGTTATATATTTTCATTTATGCTGGAAAATAATAACTTTCTTGTTCATTGGCTTTATTCGATGACAGAGACGTGCCAGATGACTGGGGCTGCGACTTGACTTGGTAGTTGTTAACGGTGCAAACTTCAACCATCAAGCATGATGTGGAAACGTCACATTCCGTTATCAAATCTTCGTACCGTAAATACTGAATAAGATCAATACTAGGCTGGAGCTTGCTAGAAAAACCGTGCACTGACAACGGCGAGTGGTGGACCTGAGTAGCGGCCGGGAGGCAGGGAAGTCAGCCAATTGTCAGATGTCTATTTCTTCACACATCTTTATTCTTTACTTTACACCGTCATAGACGTAATGCAATTATCGGAGCATGAAGTGGTGTATTGCCCTTATTACACCCTTCCAGTAAGTATCCAATGCCCATCCATCCACTTTCCGCAGGTGCAGGAGCAAGGGAGAGCGAAATAATTTTTATCGTCACTCACCTCACGCCCAACTGCTAGGCGAAAAGCCAGTACTCGCAATGTTTCAATCTTATTTAAGAAAAAAAGCAAATGTATCGGCTATAAATGCGTCGTGTTCCCTGCGGTAATACTATTAGTTTAACCCGGCACCGCCTGGGCTATTTCCGTACCCACGACAGCCTGGGGGGGGGGTCGCATCCGACCCCCCCCCCCCCCTGTGTGGCCGCTGGACCCAGGACACCAGGTGTCTCAACCGCGAAAGGTACGAAAACGTATTTCTTACGGAGAGCGGCATATCGGACGCGCTTGCGTTCTTCCGCAAAGCGAGCGGCGCTACCAGGGCTCAAGGCAGAGCTGATGACAGCAGTTGCAGAGAAGCGGTGTCGCAGCAGGTGGCGTCCCATATCAGGCTCATTCCTCGGCTGAAAGGGAAGAGCGTTATCCCATCGGGACGTCGGCCGTCACCTCTGTCAAGGCCGGTGGGCTCTAAAACACTCTCGAGCCCTGTGCTGCTCTCGCCCGCACATGGGGGGGGGGGGGGTGGTTGCCACCCATCCCCCCAGGTAGTCTTTCTGCTCTGCACTCAACATTTTTAGAGCTAGAAGGCCGATTTTTCGTATAGCTGCTCCTCTATCCTTTCTTGATGTCCACTGAAAATTTCAAGTTTGTGATTTTTGGTTTCGGAGATATGACCTTGTTTTTGAGGTCATGTCATGACCCAAATGGCCAATTCTCAACATCTTGCGTTTGCCATGGGCCTTGTGAGCTTTTGACACCCTGATTTCGGCCTTTTTTGCCAGTCTTACCTCCCACCTATCATGGAACATGTTGTTCGACGATGTACAGGGGTCAAGGTCAGGGTCAAGGTCAACCTAGGTCATCTAAGATAATTGCTTTTTAGGCAAGCCGAATTTACTTTTTGTGAAGTTTTTTGATTGCATTTTTGGTAAAAGCTTCTCAGATCATGATTTCATGTAATATGGACCCAAAAACAATCGGTGCACACATCAGTATTCAGTATACACACAGACACACACAGACATACAAACACATAATTGACCTTGACCTAACTTGACCTGAAATGACCTCAGCCAGGGGCGGATCCAGAAAATCTCCAAGGGAGGGGCCATTAGAAACCAGGAGGCCCCCATAATCCCACCTGTTGGAGGCCCCATCTTCCCACTTGTTGGGCCCCCCCCCAAAAAAAAACTGCGTCTATTGAGCTTATCTAGCTGTTCAGGCAACATCTCAACATGAATAGCCACTTCATTTTCAGGAGGCCCCCTTTTCAGCTTTTTAACTTTTTATTCTATTTTTGAAAAAAATCGGCCAAGGGGGGGGGGGCCATGGCCCCCATGGCCCCCCCCTTGTATCCGCGCCTGACCTCAGCAGCAAAATTCTGGTCGGGTAGTGTGACAAAGAGGTTCTAGCTGGCTTGGCACCAGAAAACAGCATCGTCATCGGTATTTGATAAGCAGCGCACTTGATATCCAACGGTGACCCAAAACAGCAACATTTTTTAGTTTGACCTGACCTGGAAGGTCAATGACTGACCTGAGAAGGTAAAACTGGGTATCATTGGATTTGTCTCTTCCCAAAGAATCTTTTTTGTCTTTACCGCTAAGCTCTATCTCCAACAGGAACGAAATGGCGCGGGGGGGGGGGGGGTGGCAACCACCCCCGCATGTGCGTTCTAGGATGGGAAAATGGCATGTGCGGGCGAGGGTTAAGGTTGGCGTGACGTGCGTGGCGGCCAGCACTCTTGGCACAGGAGAGACCGTGGTAGCCCAGTCGATCAGCAGGACGACGGCAGAGCTGGCAGTTGTGCGGTTCACATACCGGTGCCCCGAGTCGCAGCGCCACTGCTACCCGGACGGTTTCGTCCTCCAGGTGGAGTCTCAGACTGGTGACTGGGAGGGCTTGCACCCAGGCGGCGGTGTGGGGCTCTGCAGCAGCAAGAAGACACACCCGGACCACCTGGTTTGCCCCATCCAGCAGACGCTGCTGAGACGTCTTAGAGAACGCCTCATCCCAAGCGCGCTGCTTGCCCTCTTCTGACCATTAGTTATACCACGGATCACCTTATGTGACAACTTATAGGCCCGGGCAGTATGTGATCCGTGGTTATACCCAAGTTTATGTTAACTTATTTTTTTATGCGTATTTATACCTATGCCCATTTTATTTGCGATACGCTAGAGAAATCTTCGCATAGAAATGAGTATTGTATAAATTGTATTATACCTATAATGAGTATGAAAAATTTTCTAGCCTGAATCTTCAATAAAGCAATGTCAAGAGTATTACATAAATAATAGTTTTACGCTTAGGCCAAAACTTTTGTTTTTTACTTATTTCTGTTTATTAAATATTTTTTTTTAAAATATATGTTAACATATTCAGCTACATTTTGTCTTAAAATTGTTTAAAGATATCAATAAACCACGATGGCGCAACTCAAACACCAAGCAGAAACTGTCACGTGACTGCCTGGCCCAACCTTATCTTTAGGAATCTATAGGAATCTTGTCGGGACCCTTGACGGATCCGGCTGCTGATTGAGGTGTCAATTGTGAGAGAAGTGAAAAGATATTATTTTAAAGTTTCGTTAGACATTGTTGCTGTCTAATTTCATTGAAACTTGTGAGTTTTCTGTGCTTGGTTTCGCTAGAAGACTTTGAAGACTCGGGAAGAACAGACACGGTGAGTTTGACGCTGCCCTGCCACGCTCGACCATCTTCGTCGGCTCGACTAACTTGTTTAGCGTCTGTTAACTTTTTCGAAATGTAGTTAGGCAAGAAACATGAATTTCGCAAAAATCGTCCTTATTGATAGTCAAATGGTCACTCTGTTTTGCAACATTCATTATGACGCCGAGAATAACAGATTCTGGTTATATGCTCCGAAAAATGCGCATCTGAGACAAACGCGAGTTGTTTACAGCTTTGATTCACGTTGCTAGGTGGTTGCTATGGAGCTATGGATACTTCCTTACAGAGTAATTTGCATTTTGGTATCTTATGTGATATCGACATATGCCACCCATAATAGCTCAATTAATGCTGATAACAGTCCGGCGCACTGTGGTATCTCCAATTCATTTATGGAGACATTTCTATTATTGGAAACATTTCCAATTTTGACTACTCTTCTGTTCCAAAAATGGAAACGCTTGTTCCATAAATAGAAACGCTAACATTTCCGCACAAATTTTCTTGCCAAGGGTGGCTGGATTTGGTGTAGGTATAACCACTGTTTTGCGTAAAACAAGCACGGATACACCAAAAGCACTTGTCTTCTTGCATGGAAAGCTGATGCATTCAAATTCACCACTTAAAAATGCTCCTGAATCGTATCCATTTATGGAGACTTAGTTTCCAAAAATGGAAACGCTGATGTTCCAAAAATAGAAACGCTTAAGTTCAAATGTGTGCAAATTTAGCTTAAAGGAACTATCCCACCTTCTAAAATGTTGTTAAAACCAGTTAAATTGTGGCCGACTATAGATTTGATGATATGTGACGTCACAGCCCAAAATTCCCTCCTTCCCCAGGCAACATTACTGTCATAAAGCTGATTCTTTTTACTGTGTAGGCACCACAACTAAGTTCAGACCAAGTTTTAAGCGATTTTTCAACGAACAAACCCATTTAAATCAGAATGACTAAACGAGGTGACGTCACACTAACGGTCGCTCCATGTTGAAGATAGGGCCTGGGGCAAGGCCCATTTTCAAATGAAGGGAACAAATTTCTTCAACACCAAGAGGCTGCGGGGGTTGCAACCTAGATAGATAGTGGTTTCTGAACCTCGCCGCAAACTTGGCTATCTCAACTCAAACCCCATGTCAGTCGGTGACACACCAGGGAAATAAGCTAAAATTAGAGCGCTCTATTTATTGCTTCCGCTACTTCACCGTCTCCCATAGGGTCCTGTGTTGAGCTGGTGTCGAGGCTCTAAAAATGACGCCGATTTTTGCACCCTTCTCACAAAAACCGCTCGGACCGCCTGGAAACTAATTGTTCCGCTCTAAAAATTTCATGATCGACGGGAAAATGAACGAGGAAAAAATTGGCCCTGAAATAATTCTGAACTCCCTGTAGAACATATCGAAATATGGCTGCAAACTAGGAGCATGTCAAAATCGACAAAACAATACAAATAAACTTACCGGGATTTTTTTTTTATTTTCCATGCATCTGTGTATGAAATCAGTCGGTTTTTCGGAAAGATCGTCTTCTGTTTAATAAATAATTCCACAATTGCAATCGAGAAAAAAAAAACATTTCTCCTGTGACAGCAGTTTTGGCATTGTGCCAGTAGTTTGGTGTGCGCGGTGCTGCGTGGTCGTGGGGACGGAGTTGTGAGTATTTTCGGTGTTTTAAATGATTGATGGCCATTTGAACCAGCTTTATATTATTTCCTACCAATATTTGAATCAAGTTTTTGCTTTGAAAGACCATTGAAACCCCTTATCTCTTTATGAAACACGATCATATTCATCGTCGACGAAAATGGCGCGGGACTCCATGTGAGTTTCGATCGAAATAAATCGTAAATTAAATAATATTCGATGAAAAGTATCATATTTTAGTGAAACATTTTCATAAAATTAGGCATAAACTTTGCAAGGAAGTCAACATTGGATAATTGGATTCTTATTTTGCTCACATATCCTTGTAGTAGTCAAATGGCTCAATTGTTAGATAAATGCAAGTATATGTTTTGGCTTGATGTTTGCTGAGAAACCACCCAGCCACTTGCTGGTTGAGTGGTTTTCTGATAATTACCTGATAATCATTTCTCCTTTTCCTTAAAAGAAACTAAAATTCTTTTCAAAGTTACCAATTTTTAGGAAAGGTGGCTTGCTCATTGACAGTTCATGTTCTTGTTTTGTTATTGCTGGCAGTATTTTGATACAATAATGCAATATGAATTTTTTGCAATAATAAAACCTAAGACAGACTTAGTTAATGCGTCAATCAAACACCCAACAGAAAGATTGTGAGTCCTTGTGACGTGAAGTAGAATATTCTATGAATGTGTTTTATAGAATATGCCAAATGTTAAATTAATTTATTATTTGATACTGATAGCTGAGCATGTGAATTATGCCACAATATAATTTCATTTTCTGGTTTTGAAATAGCTGGCAGTATTTTACTTCAACAAATGTAATATACATGGAATACATGTTGTTATATCATGTAAAAAGTTTATTAACAGCCAACAGAAGGGGCTGTTTCAGCAGATAATGTTTGTACCTTATGCATTACCTTTCTTTTCTGCAGGACCATGCTTCTGCTGGGTGGTCGACATTTGCCTCCTGAAGAAGTTGAGCAACATGAAGACCACCAGATGAGGTGTCTGCAGTTCATGTGGAACTCTGCAGACTACAAGTGTTATGCCAACCACAACCAAAGTGCTGTGATCATGGAGGCATGAATCTCATGACAACACATCAGATTTGCAGTTGTACCAAAGTGTGATTCAAACCACCTGTGGCATCTCACTCAATGCGTGAACAGTGAGATCATTGTGCAGTGTTCAGCTGCAACTAAGACATTTATTAGTGACTTGTTTTGCAATTAGCCACCAAAAGCATTTTTGGGCTGGCTGCTGTAATTTGTTGTGCACTGCGCAATAGTGGTAGTGTTTTGTCACTCGTCAAGTTGTCAGTTGTGCATGTTGCATGTTTCTCTCCCCTCGGCCCTCATTATCAGTTAAGTGGTGAATTGGCATCAATCACTCAGTCTCCCCAGATCTCCATTGACTGTCTGTCAACCACCTAACTTGAGATGGTATTTGCTAATAGTGTCAGAAAAGAAGTGATTGTAGACATTTTTAGGATCATGCGTGTTCCAGTGGTCATTTTGTCACATGTCCCATAGTGTAATAAATGGAAACTGCTGTTCCCTTTTGAAGGTACTCGCGGATGCAGAAAGCGTTGGGCCTAATTGTTAAACGCACCCTCCTATCAGCGAATTGAAATGCTATTCTTTTAAACGAAAACATCCTCAAGCATTGTGGTTTTACTTTAAGGTTTCGGGATTTTTAGGCATTATGGCCTGTGGTACCCGATCTTATCGAGCTCCTGGGATTGTGGCTTTACGAGATCAATCAGGATCAGGTACGGAGTATATGATGTGGGACCAGTGTGCGTCCAGTCTTGCCTTGAAGCAGTTCAGCGAGGGTGCACCAACCACCTCGGAGGGGAGTCCATTCCAGTCGTTCACGACTCGGGCGGCAAAGGCCTCACCCTCGAGGCTGCTGGAAACTTCTGGATTTTAAACTGATGTCCCCGAGTAACTCCTCCAGCCAGAGCGAAGAATGACCTGGGGTCGGTCGGCATCGACCCCTCTGTGAAATAGTTGGTATGTGAAGATCATATCACCTCTCAGTCGTCTATAATGCAGTGATGGCATCTTCAGTTCTTTGAGTCGCTCCGTGTAGGGTTTGTGGCGGATGCTCTCTACCAGCCGGGTTGCCCTGCGCTGAACTCTTTCGACCTGTCGCTGATCCGCTCTGTAAAATGGACCCCATACAAGGTTCCCGTATTCTAAGTGTGGGCGAACCAGGGTTTTGAAAAGAATGGGCAGCGTGACTTCGTTGATGAGGGAAAACGACTTCTTGATTACGGCGAGGAGCTGCGTAGCCTTCGCCACTGCTGACGCTGCGTGTTCACGAAACTTAAGAGCGTCGTCCACGTGGACACCAAGGTCTTTCTCCACTCTTGCACTGGCTAGGGGAAAATCGCCCAGAGTGTATGAGAATCCGCAATTCGTGCTTCCTATGTGAAGTACGGTACACTTGTCCTTGTTGAAAGGCATCATCCACAAATTTGACCACTTTAAGAGAGCTTTCAGATCATTTTGCATGAGAGTCGTGTTGTTTATGGAATGGGCGCAGGAGTACAATTTTGTGTCATCAGCGAACAACTTCACTTTGCAGTGAATTTCGTCTGGCAGGTCGTTCACATAGATTAAGAAGAGTAAAGATCCGAGCACAGATCCCTTGGGTACGCCGCTAGCGACCTCCGTCCAGTTCTAGGGGCGCCCGTCGATGACCACTTGATGTTTCCTTCCGGTTAGAAAGGCCTCAATCCATGCCAGGAGCTTACCTGCTACCCCATAGCTGCGGAGATTGCTCAAAAGTCTCTGGTGGGGTACAGAATCGAATGCTTTCTGGAAGTCGAGATAAATAACATCTATTGGGTTCGCCTGTTCGATATCCTTGCTCCAGTCATCCAGGACTTCGAAAGGTTGAGTATTGCACGACCTTCCAGGTCGAAAGCCGGTGGGTGGTCATGACCTCATTTTCAGTGAGGAATTTCAGCAATTCGTCTCGAATAAGAGATTCGAGCACTTTACACGGTATAGCTGTGAGGCTCACTGGGCGGTAATTGCATGGTTCCACCTTGCTTCCCTTTTTGTAGATAGGAACCACACGTGCCAGTTTCCAATCGTCAGGATCGCAACCAGTGTCCAGTGACTTACGGAAGAGGTAGGCAAGGGGCCCAGAGAGGGAGCTATGAGCCTCTTTCAGTACCCTCGGGTGCAGGTCATCCGGTCCCGGTGAGCTCAACACATTAAGGCCTCGGAGCTTCTCTTCCACTGCCCGCGTTGTTATGGTGATGTCATCGAGACCGAGCGACTGGACGCGATCGTCCAGAGTTGGCACATCGTTTGCATCTTCAGTGGTAA